ATCTTCTTCTCAAGAACCATGGGCCAGTTTCAACCAAACTTGCCACAAAGTATCCTTAGGTGAAGGGGATTCAAGTTTATTCAAATGAAGGGCCATGCCCTTTTCCAAGGGAAGATAATTATGAATTAGTGAAAAATTAATGCTTTTTTTTAAAAAATCTTCTTCTCAAGAACCACTGGGCCAGGAAAGATGAAACTCATGTGGAATCATCCTCAGGTAGTGTAGATTCAAGTTTGTTCAAATCATGACCCCCGGGGGTAGGATGGGGCCAAAATGGCCAATCAAATTTTTACATAGGAATATATAGGAAAAATCTTTAAAAATCTTCTTCTCAAGAACCACTGGGCCAGGAAAGATGAAACTCATGTGGAATCATCCTCAGGTAGTGTAGATTTAAGTTTGTTCAAATCAGGACCCACGGGGGTAGGGTGGGGCCAAAATGGCCGATCAAAGTTTTACATAGGACTATGTAGGAAAAATCTTTAAAAATCTTCTTCTTGAGAACCACTGGGCCAGGAAAGATGAAACTCATGTGGAATCATCCTCAGGTAGTGTAGATTCAAGTTTGTTCAATTCATGACCCCGGGGGTAGGAAGGGGCCATAATGGCCCATCAAAGTTTTACATAGGAATATATAGGAAAAATCTTTTTTAAAATCTTCTTCTCAAGAACCACTGTGCCAAGAAAAAATGAAACTCATGTGAAATTATCCTCAGGAAGTGTAGATTCGATTTAGTTCAAATCATGACCCCCGGGGGTAGGGTGGCGCCACAATGGCCGACCAAAGTTTAACATAGGACTATGTAGGAAAAATCTTTAAAAATCTTCTTCTTGAGAACCACTGGGCCAGGAAAGATGAAATTCATGTGGAATATCCTAGGTAGTGTAGATTCAAGTTTATTCAAATCATGACCCCCGGGGGAGGTCAAATGGCCGATCAAAGTTTTATATAGAAATATACAGGGAATCCTTTTAAAATATTCTTTTCAAGTACTTCAAAGCCATGCTTATATAGTGATATTTATAGGGAATCATCCTCAGGTAGTGTAGAATCTAGTTTGTTCAAATCATGACCCCCTGGGGGTTAAAATTCAAGCCCCCCCCCCTCAGTAAACTTTCAGTTCTGATCTGATATGTGCTTTTTTCTAGCCAATTGCTCAGGTGAGCGATGTGGCCCCTGGGCCTCTTGTTTAATTATTGTTTACAAAATCTTTTTAACAGACATCGCTCAAGAAGCCGTGAGAGACACAGGCATAGAAGTCGCAGTCGAGAGAAATCGCAGTAGAAGCCGAGACAGACACAAGAAAAAACACAGGGACAGGTCCCCAAGTAAATCAGAGAAAGGGTGAGTTACTATTCCTTATAGAAACAGGTCACCTAGTGAATAAGAGAAAGGGCGAGAAAGCATCAAATCCTGCTAACTGAATGTGCTTGTGGACTGTTTTATAGGAGATTTTACATGTCATTCAGAAGTTTTGAAATACAAATAAATTTTATTGGAAATCATGTGAGGAAACTATGTATTAACTGATGTAACCCAATCTGCGATATGTTTTTTCAGAGTAAAGAAGGAAAAGGAAGAGAAGAAAGAAGTGAAAAAAGTTCCACTGTCCCTGGAGGAATTACTGGCCAAGAAAAAGGCAGAAGAGGAGGAACTGAGCAAGGTAAGAAGGAGTGGATCTTATGGAGATGTGACAAAGTGAGGAGAGAAGGAGTGGATCTTATGGGAGTGACAAAGTTAAAAAAGAAGGGGTGGATCTTATAGAGGTGTGACAAAGTGAGGAAAGAAAGGAGTGGATCTTAAGGATGTGACAAAGTGAAGAAAGAAAGGAGTGAATGTGCTGGAGGTGTGACAAAGTGAGGAAAGAAAGGGGTGGATCTTATGGAGGTGTGACAAAGTGAGGAAAGAAGGGAGTGGATCTTATGGAGGTGTGACAAAGTGAGGTAAGAGAGGATGAATCTATGGAGGTGTGACAAAGTAAGGAAAGAAAGGAGTGGATTTATGGAGGTGTGACAAAGTGAGGAAAGAAAGGAGTGGATCTTATGGAGGTGTTACAAAGTGAGGTAAGAAGAGAGTGGATCTTATGGAGGTGTGACAAAGTGAGGTCAAGGGAGTGGATCTTATGTAGTCGTAATATATACTAGTATAGAAAGAGAAGGAAATTAATGGAAGGATTCTTTGAAGTATATTCATTCCCAGGCAATGTAAATTCCTTATTTTTCATGAGTTCCTTTTATGGCAAAATGACTTTTACATGTCAAATCTTGAGTATATTAATTAGCTGTCAATAAATTTTACATGGAGTTCAGCATCATAAAAATAAAGCCAGTTATTCTATTTTGCAAGAAGTGCTCCTTGTGCAATTACATGATAATTAATTTGCATTTATTAAGGAATCTACAGTAACTAAAGGGCCTGCTTAGACCAAACATATTTTGATGATGCATCAAAGTGAATACCAACAGACCTGCTTTGAATGCTAGATCTGATCTACATTTTCTGCACAGTAATACCGTATAAGTAGAATTTTTAGCGAGGATTTAATTTTGGCATTATTAGTGAGGGTGCTGACATCGCTAAAATTGAATATCGCTAAGAATTAATTGCGTATTGTTTGTAATAGCTTCTTTAGTAAGCACTTTAAAATCGCTAAAATTACTTCTCGCTAAAATAAAATACTAGATTTTAGTTAGGAATTGCTAAATTTGCGTCTCGCTAAAATTTCCACTTATACGGTAATTGATTTTGTGCTCACACAGTTAGTTTGATTTTCTATTGCTGTCTCTATCATTTCAGCCCAAGTTTTTGACCAAAGAAGAGAGAGCTGCAGAGGCCCTGAAGAGGAGGCAGGAAGCTGTGGCAGAACAGAAGAAGAAGACAGAAGAAGAGAGGAAGAAGCAGCTAGAGTTCCTCAACCAAGGCAGAGAGGGTAACAGAAGAGATTTAGTTCAGAGGGGTGGGGTGGGGGGGGGGGGGGTAAGGACTGATACAGATACAGTTTCTCAACCAAGGCATAGAGGGTAAGAAAGAAAGAGATTTAGTTGGGGGGATGGTAGGGGGTTGTGTGGATTATGGTATGAATAAAACAGAATTCTGTGTCAATCAAAGTAGAGGAAGTCTGAAAATTTGGCTCGGGGGGGGGGGGGGGCTACAGATAGAGGTATGAATAAAACAATTAGGGAGTTCTGTGTCAATCAAAGCAGGGAGAGTTGGAAAAGCAATTAAGATTTGGGCTTGAAGAGAGGGGGCTTATAGAAGGAAGGATGAATAAAGCACTTTTAAAGAGTTCTTTAATCAAGGCAGAGAGGGTAGGAAACCATTCATTTAATATAAAGACAAGATACATTGTAATTTGTATATTGTACATGTTTTATTATGCCCCCCTTCGAAGAAGGGAGGGTATATTGCTTTGCTGCTGTCTGTCAGTCGGTCTGTTGGTCCACTTAGTTTCCGTTCATTTTCTTCACAACCATTGCACATACACTACTTAGAAAAAATTACAATTAATTGCAGTTTCCTTTCATTTTTTTTGCAGAGGTTGCACATACTGAAATTAAATTTGGTAACTATACAGATTTATCAGATAAATATCTAGGTCAAGTTCTGTTTTGGGTACAATTGCGCCATTTTTGACAGAGTTATCCCCTTTTTGGACTTAAAAATTCCAATTTGGGGGGAGGGGGGAGGCATTAGTGTTTTACAAACATCTCTTGTAGCAATTTGACATTTACTATGTACTTGTGTAATGTTTTAGATGATAGACACAGGGATAGCGGCAGGGATCGCCGGGATAGAGAGAGGAGAGAGAGAAAGGGGGAGGGAGAAAAAAAACAGCATATAGAATCTAAAGAAAAGGAGAAAGAGCAGGCTCCATTAAGGTACTGTACAAATGTAGAAATGAAGACGATAATGAGCTAGCCACAGATCTGTAGCTCTCTGGTCTTAAAACTTGGATGAGTTCCTTTTTTTGAACTCAGTCTATTTTTCCACTTTTAATTCCTTTGATAAAGGTGAGACTGAGATCAAAAGTGAGCTGATCTGAGTTTCATGGCGCCAGGGTCTGTACATGTAGCTCTTGGGTCTGAAAAAAATTGGGTTTTTTCCCAGAGAGCTACAATGCCACCCACTGAAAAGATAATATTTATTGTGTACAAAGATTGTGTAATCAAATTTAAAAATTAGATTTTACCGCTCCAGTTTGATCGTGGCATAAACTTGGATAAAGATTAATCTTAATTAATTGAGTTGTGCTTGGTTTTGGATAAATTTCTCCAAATTCTTCCCTGAACTTACAAATTAAAGCTTGTTTTTAAAAAAATATTCCTTTACCTTATCAATACTTTCATATTTGATTTGAACAAAGATTTTAAAAAATTTTTGCCCCCAAATTTGCATGGTAAATAGGCAAAAATTTTTGATGGTCTCAATTTCAGGTCCAGGGGGGCTTTTAACAATGGTTATAAGGAATTGTTTTGTTGTGGAAATATTAAAAGAATAAGAAGCACACAGTAAATAATATTTTGAGGTGGCAGTTTGAAAAACAGGGAAAATAAATTGCGAAACAGTAGACTTTTTGTGTGAAATAAATCTACACTTTTTTGAAGAGCTACAGTTCTACAATTAAAAATAACGACATTGAGTAAGATTTTCTGCTTTAATTGATGGTGAACATAGAAATAAAAGAAAAAATCTTATGATTAATTTTTTTTTAAATGAATAATTCCAAAGTATATTACCTAGACTTGAGATTTCCATAGATTGTGAATTTGCCCTTAAAATCTGATGAATGTAAATAAAGTTATTATTTCTTATCCTGGGTTAATGCCCAATTACTTTTAAAAATTCTTGTCAATTTGTCTAGAATTTCAGGTAATTATAAGATTAGATTTTTTTTAGTGTCATAAAAAATGATGCATTTTTTAAAATTGATTATTCTTAAGTAAAATGCCTTGATCTGACATTTTAAGTTTAGATTTTCTTTAGTCTCATAAAACTTGTATATTACTTGGTTTGATTGTAGGAGCGGTATCTGGGAATAATGAAAAAGAAACGTCGAATTCACGACTAAAAAAAGAAAGTTTGTGTTCGACTGGGATGCGGGTGACGATACCTCTCAGGATTATAACGCTCTATACAAAGAGAGACACGCAGTACAATTCTTTGGAAGGGGTCATATTGCAGGCATAGATATCAAGGTAATTGTGCAGATATCAAGGTAACTATAAAAATAACAAAGATATCAATGTGACTATAATTGAAACAAATGGAGATAATGAACAGTATTCAAGATCAAAAGTCCATAAAACATAACAAAATAGGATCAAAGCAAACAGGGACCTCCAAAACATCGGAAGCAGGATCAGGTGCCATTGAGGAGAGAGCATCCCCTGCCGACCAGTCACACCCGCCGTGTGCTCCTTATATATCTAAAAGATACATAGACATAAGATACCAAAATGATACATAGATATCTATTGTACTACAAAGATATCAAAATGATATATAGGTATCTAAAATGATACATAATGGTCACTAAAAAGATATCAAAATGATACATGTATTTCAAGGTGACTAAAAAGATATCACAATTATATATAGACATTATAGGTCACTACAATATATCAAAATGATACGTTTATATCAAGGTGAGTACGGAGATATCAAAATGATACATAGACATCAAGGTAACTACAAAGATATCAAAATGATACATTAATATCAAAGTGACTATGAAGATATCAAAATGATACATTAATATCAAAGTGACTACACAGATATCAAAATGATACATAGACATCAAGGTCACTACAATACATCAAAATGATACATTTATATCAAGGTGAGTACAAAAATATCAAATGATACATAGCCCTCAAGGTCACTACAAAGATATCAAAATAAAGCATTAAAGCTTAACACAATTCATATCAAGAATTTGTCCGTCATATTTGTTTGATCTCTCGCTATATCTTTGGCACCTGTAAATAGAGCTGGTCACTGTCAGTGTAAAGAATAGTAACCTGTGTACACGGATGTTTGCTATATAACTCTCTGTAGCGACAGAGAATAACTGTGTACTTCTTCCAAAGCAGGAAAGTAAGATACCAAAGACACTAAGAACAGTTGCATACTTCAGTGCAGTATACAAACATATTCATATGCGCAACTGGAATAAAATGTAAACAAAGGTAATGCAATATAACCAGCAAGAACATGCGTCGCCATTCCACGCGGATACCCTTGACAATAAAACAGTCAGGTGTAACGAATGTGAAGAGTATATACACTGTACCCTGGCGTTGATGTATCATAGATAGTGATATCAAAAATGACCTATGTTTATTTACGAGTTGTGTTCAGCTTTAATATCAAGGTGACTTCAAAGATATCAAAATGATGCATTAATATCAAAGTGACTATGAAGATATCAAAATGATACATTAATATCAAAGTGACTATGAAGATATCAAAATGATATGAAACATTATCGTAGATAGTGATATCGAAAATGGCCTATGCCTATTTAGGAATTGGGTTCAGCTTAAATATTGAGGTGTCTTCATAGATATCAAAATGATACATTAATATCAAAGTGACTACAAAGATATCAAAATGATACATAAGCATCATGGTGGCTTTACATATATCAAAATGATACATAGACATTAAAGTGGCTACACAGACATCAAAATGATACATAGATACAAAGGTCACTACAAAGATATCAAATGATACATAGACATAATAAAGGTCACTACAAAGATTTTAAACTGATACATTAATATCAAGGTGACTCAAAAGATATCAAAATGACACATAGACATCAAAGTCACAACAAAGATATCGACAAAATGATACATATTTAGAAAGGTAACTATAAAGATATCAAAGTGATGCATTTGTCATAGCCATTAAGGTGATTACAAAGAAATGAATTCAAAACTATATTTGGATATCAAGATAATTACAAAGACAGTTTCTTTTAGCTCTACTGGTCAGAGACCAGAAGAGCTTATGTGAAAGTAAGGTGTCCGTTGTCTGTTAACAGTTTTTCAAAACACTACTCCTCCCTCTACGGTTTCGATCTGATTTCATTACATTAGTAATTTCAGTTAGGAGTGAAGTTGCATTACGTCAAGATCTTTTTTCGACAGATGCATCCAGCGTAAACAATTCACGCCCCTGTTGTGTGATTGGTCAACTCATATTAGCAACATTGACACGGAAATAGTCTGCTGCATGAGCAACCAATCAGGGATTAGAAGAAACTTCCAGTCATAAAGCTTGCGGTTAGGAGGCGTGTACTATTTACCTTGAGCGCAGCTGTCATCATAGGTTGTGACGTAATGCAAAACTTCACACTTAACTGAAATTACTAATAACTTAGTAGATAACATTAAGATACCTAATTTTTTAAAATATTTTTTTGGAATGATGTTGACAATTTCATGGTTATCAAAAATTAGAATTTTTGTAAAATTCTTTCGAATGGCTACTTCTCATGTAGTTTTAGTCTGATTGCAAAAATTTTTCCACCAAAAAGAGACTAAAGTAAAGACTAATTTCTATTCATTATGTTCCAAAAGTTTCAAGTATAAGTGCTACTTTTTTCCTCCTTTTTATACCAATAACCTGTAAAGCTACACTCTCATCAGAGACTTCTGATTTTCTTTGAAATATATTGATTTTAAAAAGTTAATTTTCTTTGAAATATATTGATTTTAAAAAGTTAATAAGACTTTTTTCAATACTCTTTAATAAACTTTACAAATTGAAAAATTGAGCATAGCGAGAAATATTCATGACAATTCAATAAATATGTTATTAGCAAAGAGTTAAAATGTATGTAATGATTTCATTGTTTTTGTCATTTTGAATGAGTTTTAATTTGAATGTACTTTTTGAAAAATTGTCTATCAAATATTTTTTAGTGGTTTACCAACAGAAAAGTCTGTTCTTGTGTGTGCTAGAGCTTGAAAATATATATACTCCCCGTCAATGGAAACGCAACACCCTAATTTTAGGTTGAAAATTATATTCGGGTTATAACTATGTACCAAAAAGTTAGGACAACTTTTACTTTGCCAAATCAATTATTTAACGGTTGAATGAATTTCTTTCCACTACCGGAAGTTGCTTTCTAGCCCTCTTATCAGAAATCAAAATTTTGCATTTTTAATAAAAATTTTTAACAATATTTTGGATTTTCGAGGTTTTGCTGCTGTTAATCATAATTATTGTACTAAAATGCCGGGGAAAAAATCCTTCTTTCTTTATACCGGATATGATTCCTATATTTCCTCAAAATGATTGATTTTCATTGCTAATGCTAAAAATTCTCAAAATAAAGAAAAAAAAGAGTGCAGATGCAAATGTACGTGATACAACTACTCATCAGGCTCATGTGTTTCAATAGCATAAATGAAAGTTTCATGACCGGAAGTCCAAAAGTTGCTACACTACGCCAAGTTAGAGAAAATTTGACCGCAGTATCTGAAAAACATACATTTTAAAATCCAAAGAATATTAATTTCGCTCAGATTAAGATGTCTATAAACCTAATGCATGGTAGAAATCGGGCTGCATTTGTTGTATATGGCGGACTAGCACGTTTTAATTAAATGGTCGGAAGGGGGGATGTTTTAAGATTTACCTTGTATTTTTTTCTTTCCAAGATTTAAAAAAAAACATTTAATGTTTAAATGGAGCATTCATGTTTTGTAAATTTACTTTTTAAATATATATATTCATTTTTAATGTTATCATTAAACTTTAGAAGGTAACACATAACTCCTATATCATCCCCCCTTCTTGCTTTCAGTCATTTTAAGGAAT